AAATATTAATTAACTAGACTACATCAAAATTAAGAACTTTTGTTATCAAATGTATTATTAAGGAAGTAAAAGGCAAAAAACAAGGAGATAGTAACAATACATATATTAAAAAAAAAAACATGTCCAGAATACATAGAAGAACTACAAGAAAAACAGAAATTTCCCAAATGGAAAAACACACAAAAATCTTGAACAGACATTTCACAAGAGAATATCCAAATGTCCAAAAAGTTAAAAAAAAACTTTATCATTAAGAAAATTCAACACCACAATGTGACATTCTATGGTATCTAGTGGTATAAAAATCATAGAATTTTATACTAAGAAATTTTAAGCACAGACTTACATTAGAATAGGAAAATTTTTTAAAAAACAGGAAAAATATCCTAAGTTTGGAAGGTATGGAGGAAGTGGAAATCACATACTGCTTATATAGTATAAACTGGTGAAGCCACCCTGGAACATTGCTCATTAGAGTCTTTTAAAGCTGGGCCTATGAACTAGCAATTTTACTCCTAGGTAGATAACAAACATAAATACGTATATATGTGTTTATCAAGTGATATGTACTAAAATGGTCACAGTAGTAGTACCAGTAAGAATCTCAAAAAATAAATTGTGTACATAACATAAAGGAACATTATCGGTAATAAAAATGAGCTACCTATAATTCATGCAAGATCAAAGATGACTCTTAGAATGCTGAAGAAATGAGATCAGACCCAAAAGAGTACATACTCAACACTTTCATTTATATATAGTACAAAAATAGTACAAAATAATCTAGCTACCAGAAGTGTTGGGTGAGTGGGTACTGACTGGCAGAGAGCATGGGGACTTTCAAGATGCCAGCAATGTTGTTCCTCTATTGATGCACTAGCTACACAGGTGTGTTTCTCTGTGAAAATCCACTAAGGTAAAATAAAAGTTTACTACAGCATAAGAGAATTTAGTGGTATAAAATCATAGAATTTTATATTAAGAAATTTTAAGTACAGGTTTACATTAATTAACAATAATTTAAATACACAGGCTAGACAATCTTTCACTTTCTACTGCTTTAGAGCAGAAGTTAATACTTACAGTAAATTTGGCTCTTTCTTCCATCACCTCATAACCCAGTATAGTAGGTGTAGATGGTCTATCCTCCCAATTCACTGCTTCAGGATTTTGTTCTTCAGTTTCTCTTGGTCTAGTAGAATACTCAATAGATGATTCTGTACCTGTAAACTTAGTCCTAATGAGAGGACTGCTACTGACAGATGAAGTTCTATCCAGCTGATCAGGAACACTTGTCTGTTTACAATTACCCATATTTGAATCTTCTAACTGGCCTTTGGAGGAGTTTGAGCTTGTTGAGATGCTGCCAAAAGAAGAACTTCTTTGACTTTTGTTGGCTGTAAAACTAGAAGCAGAGTTTCCTATGGGCATAGGAACTGGGACATAAGGAGTTGCCATTTTCTGCCTCTGCAACAAATCTGTACACTGCTGAGTCCAAACGATTAGCAAACAACTACTAGGCAATCCATTTTCTTCTTAGGAGTTCACTATCTAAAAATAAGGACATATTGAAAGATTAGTCTTTAATCTGAAGCACAATCCAAAAGAAAACAAAATGTTCTTATAAATTTTATGACTATTATTTTATTTGGAATGAAAACACACTTCAAACCCCTTTTTAAAAATCTCAGTGTCTCTAAGGACTCTTGTTCACAAGGTAAAAAGATCAAAACTATTTCACATCCCTTTTCTTGACTCTTGTGTCATGTTAACCTTTTTTACCCACTGTATTTCTTTGAGAAGGATTTCTGTAACGTTCATTTTTAACCTGATTTGATCTCCAGCACTGCCAAAAAAGAAAAAAGAAAAGTAGGAGAAAAGAGTGGGAAACTCTCCTGAAGCTTTCTTCTAGAATTTCCTGATAATACTATATACACTAGGAAGAAGAGAAAAAGGCAGAAATGCAGAATCAAATAGTTGACAAACCTGATCAAATTAATCAAATAAAATCCAATGAATATTAAACATATTAAACACGATTATATGATTTAAAAGTATACTTCAGTTTTCGGGCGGATATTAGTTTTGCTTTCTAATTAACTGAGAGGATTTAACAAATCTTTATAACTCATACTCAATAAACTGTTATCAGAAGAACTAGTGTATCTTGTATCAGAAAAAGTTCATTATAACAATAATGGTTTATCATTAAATTGTTAAATAGCAACTTATAAAAAATTGTAATACCTAGACCAACAAAATGACAGGACTACACATAGCAACCAAGGATCTGCCCGTCCAACTTCATCTATGCAACTGTATTGGTGAGAAGGGTTGGAAATGAGTCCCAGGGGCTTGCAAGTAGTATTTTAAACTCAGCACGTGGCTCTCGGCAACCTTCCTCATTATCAAAGATTCAAGAAACTTGAGCTGCTGATTCATTGAGTCTCCGTCCCGTCTGATGGCCTCCCCCAAAAGAAGTAAATAAAAATGAAATTGTAACCTTCTCAAGGCCAAGGGGACGGCCCTACTCTTTGCCAACCCCATTACCTGAGGCCACAGGTGGGGAAAAGGTAGCTTATCAACACAGCCACTAATATCCAAAGCAGTAAGAGTTACCCAGGCGTTAGGAAAACACTGTGCTCCTTAGAAGAGTGCGAGACTTTTGTCCTTGCATGGAGCTGCGCCAGGAAAAATCCTCAGTCTCACCTCTGTCAGGTGACGAGGTCGGATTCGGAGAAACGAGGTGGGCGAGACTGGGTGAAGAGAGGAAACTGGAGAAAGCCTAGGAGGGTGCCGTCGAGGTCTGCGCGGGGTAGGGGTCTTCAACTTTGGGAGCAGCAGGACTTGCAGCTCCCGGGTGCCGGAGACCCTCCTGCCTCCGCCACCCCGCGCGCGGCCACAGCCTTCCAGACGCACGGCGGAGTGTACTGGCCGGACGGTGGCGGGGCTCGGGGTCCGGGGCCTGCGGCGTCTCTCCACCCTCCCGCGCCTCCGGCCAGGCAGCCGGAGTGCAGCTGTCACCCGCACCGGAGCCCAGCACAGCGTCCCCACCCGGTCCTTACCTTAGCGTACTCCACGATCCAGCTGGAGCGCGCTTCCCGGGGACTGTAAAACCCAGTGCTCCTATCTGCAGCTTTTCGCCTCCCACTACACAACCTAATGCCTCACGTGACCTTCCACTCCGAAAGCAGCAGCTCAGCACGTTTCCCACACTACCGGGCCAACCCACCAGGGATCCCGGCGAGGAGGAGGGAGGGGTTGGCCTGGGACCCCGCTCCCGGAAGTGACGTTAGCAACGCGCCAGCCCCCGGAAGTGCCCACTAGAGAGTCTGCCTTTGGGTTTCTGGTAGCAAAGTTATATCTAATCCTGTGACAAGTAGTTACATTCTTTGTGCTAGTTTTATTTTTCGAAGTGAACTTCAGAGAAAATGGGCTAATTTTCCTAGCAGGTGATTAGAAGTCTTCGGTTTCCAGGAGGAACCATGGCCAGCGTTTGGGCACGTGCTTTCATCATGGGATTGTAGTCCATTACCTGCTTGAGCTGGTTCTATTAGGTTATAGATTGTTTTCCAGAATGAGCAGTGTTTTAGGGGATGACGATCCGAAGTGTAGGAAGATAGAACACTACATTATTGTTTATCCTTCCTGTGTAATTCAGAAATCTTTGTTGACAGAGACCCCTGAAATTCTTTAGTATGTATTTATTTTCTATCTGGAAAGTAATGTATCCCAAATGATACACCATTAGGTTTGTTATACTTGCTCATACAGAAACAAAAAGGAAAACCTGTGTCCAGAAAGCATTCTTTGATAGTCAAATACGAAGATTTAGACCAGTACACAGGACCATTCATCCTTAGAATGGTGCAGTTTGATTTAAAGATTATTCAATGATTTGTAGAGCTTTAGAGTAGTGCTAAGAACAGGAAAAGTTGACAGTGGTAATTTCAAAATGAATATAGGAAGTTAATCTCATTTGTGGCATACTGCTGGTTTTTGTTTGAGAAATATTGACCTTTCAGTAAGAGTGAAACATGAAAATAGAGCTCTATAGTAACAAGAAAGTAAAACAGTTTTCAGTATGTGCTTGGCAGTCTTGATCTTGACATGATGACTATATACTTGAGTTATGTGAATAAGGGAAAAGTACGGCAAAGAAAAAGGGGCCTTGGAAGATTTCTCTAGATTATGGATAAGGCTGACAGTGGTAGCAAAAGAGACCCGTGGTAAGTAAAATCTGTTAGTTCAATATTTAGAAAGCCAAAGAAAATTAAACTTTCAAGAATTAAGAGTGTACAGATACCACAACTAGGAGGATGAAGAAAATATTATTGAAACTACTCAGGAGGAACTTCTTTCAGAAACTAGGGGGAGCATAACAGAATATGCATACTACTGTACAAGTTTTATTTATCTTCCAGAATATCTGATGTTGATAAATGTTTAGATTTTACTTTTAAGAAATAACTAAACTGCTTCAAGAATCAAGAAAGTCCTGTGGTTAGTCAAAGTAAAAGTTAAAATATTATCATAGACCAATTTTGATGGCCAGTCTCTGTTCATTATTTTAATTCAGTTCCTGGATGCCTCTGTAATGTGCCCATAATCCAAATGAATTGTTTACATTTTAATTTGTGGAATAACAAGATTATTTTTTCTGCTTCTTCCATTAATTTTGTATTATGTAGCCCTAGGAGGGGATTTGAAGCTCACCCAAGGTATAATTTTTATAATCATATGTATATAGATATTGATACTCAGAGGTGGTGGTGCAAGGAAGGAAGAGGTAAACACAGCAACAGAAAAAAACACATGAAGTGAGCAGGCATCTCTTGAGGCATCTGTCTGGATCCCAACATTTCCTCTGAAATTGGTCTGTCTTCTATAAGGCTGGGTCTCTGGTGCCTATTCATAATATATCACTCTTGAATCATGTTTTTCATCATAGTTGACTGTGCACAAGTAGAACATTTGATCCAAATTGTATCCAACAGGTGCTTTTTCCTAGGAATTAAAGCAGGGTATTTGAGAAAAGATGCTGGTTGGAAGTCACTGGAGCTAAAGTCAGAATAATTCTGTGGTGAGAAGTCCCAAAAATTCCATTGGTAAGTTTCCTGGCAGTGATCTGATCCCTCTTACTTGATTTCTCTTTGGACTCTATGACATAACCTAGTGTACTTTAATTATATTAACTTTTTGCTTAAATCCAACCAAAGATGGTTGTTTTGCTTAGAACCAAAGTACAACTAATATAGCAATTTGGAATGAGGCAAACTGAAAATATTAGATGGTGAGATGGTGATAAAATACTTTCCTGTTTTTTATTTTGCAAATAGCAGTTAATAATTCATAACCTATTATTTTAAAATATAGTATTTAATAATCTGCTGTCTGTTTGTAACATATAATACCTCAATAATTTATAAACAAAACACTATAAAATAACTCCATTATTTTTATGTAATTTCATAGATTCTCTAATTTATAGATGTTGTCTCCATGGACAGTGTTTCTTTAATCTTATTATTTAATATCCATACTCTCCTTGCCCTCTACTTTCTCACTGCCATGAAGTTCTGAGCCCAAAGAGAAAAACACAGATGGTGTATTGTTAGATCATCTGAGTAATAGGAGATGACCAAAGTAGTAACACAGTGACGTGACAGCTGAATTTATCTCAATGAACCTGGGATCTATACAATGTACTAAAACCAGGGTAGGAATTATATGATATTTATAATGGCACAGGAGTGACACACTTGAGTATTGCTACCATTTTGTTTTTCATTCATCATGTTACATAAAGAAACTTGATAGCATTGTGGAAATCCTATTGTGAGCATAAGAAATTGATAAAATTCTTCCTCAAAATCACAAATTCATAATCTTAGAATGGAAAGGAAGTATAATGATCATAAGAATTCTGTTTCATTTTATAGCTAAGGATATTGAGAAAAACAAGCTAAACCTTCTATCTGAGGTCACAGATTTGATTAATTCTTGCTCCCAAAGTAGCAACTTTCTTACTACACTTAATAGCACATGTTTCTTGAGCACAGCATACTTTTTCATATCTTAATGTGTTTCAGCTTTCTGATGTGACTAGTCATTTTTATAGTCTTATCATCTGACCCCAGGTAGTCTTATGGGTTTTATATATGATAAAAATCTGTCTGAACTGGGCCTTTAGGGGTTAATAGGAATTGGATAAGTAAAGGAGGAAGGCTAGAGACACCAGGCAAAGTGGAAGATTTGAGAAAGGACATGCACAGTGTGGAGGTTGGTGAGATAACTTGATTGGACTGAAAGGAGTATGTTTGAGGTAGCTGGAAATAGAAAGATGAGCTTCTGTTTATCTCTTGAATCTACCTTAAATATAATCTCATAAGTAATACCTTCCTGCTCCCCTCACATGGAATTAAATAAGTTCATCCTGTATTATTACATAGTATTTGGTTTATAAATGGAAACATTCATCATTTATATCATGAATACTTACTTAATTGTGCAACCTAATAGCCAGGATTATGTATTAGATATCAGTGTGCTGATAGTACCCATTTGATACCTGAGTAAGATAACACCCACAATTACTGTTGTTTTACATTTGGCCTCCTTTACTTATATTTTCTACAAGATCCCTGTAGACATTTTCATTTTCAGCTTATACTTTAGAGAATAAAGTCCTAATACCTTGAGTAGGCCTATAACTCCTTCATGAACTGGCTTTTATAGCTTTATTTCTTCCAGAATAATTGGTTAATCCGTTAACCACGTATCTATTGAGGACCTGCCATAAGCAATGGATTTCAAAGTCAAGATGTACCAATTATTGCCCTTTTTGAGTTCTTTTTTTTCTTTTTCTAGCATTTACTGATGTTTTTGTCTATAATTCTCCCACTTCCCACATCCCTTTTAAGAAGCACAGCTCTAGATCATCTCCTCCCTGAAACCTTGTCCCAGTCCCTCTCCACTATGTCCTCACAGTCCCATCTTCTAGCCTCTGCTATAGATTTCCTACACTGGATGTGGTCATTTGTCTGTCTGTCTGTCTGTCTGTCTCTCTCTCTCTCTCTGCCTCTCTGACAAGAATTCAAGCTTCTTGAGACTGAGATAGTGTTTTTCTTCTCTGCTGGCTGAAGCATGGTGGGGCTAGATTGAAGCCATAAATGAATGAAAATGAGTGAATAAAATTTTGTTGGTTTAGCTCAATGGTTTCATGCACACACACACATTCTCAGTGGAATTTTGTTTGAGGAAACGTTAAATGGAACCTAATTTTGTAAAACAAATGAAAGTGAAGCAGCTGTGATTAAAAAGAAAGAATTCCTTTAATTAGTCATTTGTAAACCACTGGATTAGATGGATGATTTCTAAGGTCCACTTCAGACATAACGCTTTCTGAGCTTATTATGTATTCCTTGAAATCCAAAGTAGATACTAGAACAAATACCATAGTGTAGTTAGCAGCACTAAGCACCATAAAAGATAGTCCATGGAGCAAAAATGAAAACAAAACAACCAAACACAACAAAACAAAAAAGCTGAAGTCCTGAAATTAAACAAAAAAAGTGAATCAGACATTATTATACATTTAAGTCTTTGTCTTAAGCAAGTTTGAGGTATACTTAACTCCTGGTATATGGATGATGAATGAAATCTGTTCTCTGAGTTCTCAGTGCCAGGGTTTTCAACACCTTAGTTTGTAAGGGACCCTGCCAAAAGGAAAAAGTGTTTCCAGGTAAAAAGCAGAGACTTGCAAGGGCAACAAGTCTTCAGTCTGTCAACACCACATTATTCTAGGAGAGAATAATACCTTCTCAGAGAGGACTTAAACAACTGTGTTACACCTGAGCACTTTGTTTGGGTTACTTCTGACTTTTTTCATTTGTAATATGGGTAATAATAGTGCTTCCTATAGGACTATTGTGAAAAATAAAAATGATCATCCTTGTTGTTATAGCTTGTGTCTAGATGTCCCCTCAAAGCCTCATGCTGTCATAGGTGGGGCTTTTTCAGAGGTGCCTGAGTCCAGAGTGTGTGATGCTG